AGGACACCCTATAGCATCCGATAACGTTGGCTTCATGGACGAGTGCACCGATGAATTTGAGTTCATGCACTGACGAAAATTTGACAGGAGACCGCGGCAATGTTCACTAAATGTTCATTATTAAGGAACATTTCCCCACTCTCCTGTCAAATTTCCATTAGTGCATGGACTCAAATCCATCGGTGCAGTCGTCTATACCAGTTTTTACGATATAACTCTTTTATATCAGTTTTAACCAGTTTATAACTCATGGAAAGAAAGCTATTTTTGAATGAACTTCATCTTTCGTTTATATTTACCTAGCTTCAGCAGGTCGTTGGATAACTCGTCTTCGAAAAATCTATGTGGTTCTTGTTCACGTTAGCACCTTTTGTACATTCGACCTTTGTCCCACGCTTTGTCTGAAGGCACTTGTTTTGCAACTTTCATGTACCTCAGTTTTATCTTCCCAGGAAGTTAGTATTGATCCTAACAATCAAATCTGTGAAGGTTTTAAAATAGTTCATCTTGGGTTTTTTGAGAAAAAGTATTTCGAAGTACATTTAGCCGTTTATGAAGGCGTATATGGACTATTGACGATACAAAACTGTTACGTATCGAAATAAACTCAGCAGAAAATGATTCACAAGGGGAATTGAAATAGTTAAGTTTCAATGATACAGTAAGATTTCTTCTTCGGTACCGTCAGATATCGTAGCTTAGTCAGGATCTCATAATGTTTAAATTAAATAACAATTAAACAATTTTTTAGTCCCAAAATTTACTATTATTCCGCCATTCCATAGCAAAACGACATTGTGGTTCTCAGAATATGGTTAAAATTTTAGTTTTGTTTCTCATCACAATTTTTATTTATTTTGTCATTAGGGGGACTATTTCAACGTCCAAAAAATCGACTTTATTTTTTCAAAAATGACTTTTTTCAAAAAATTATAACTTTTGAACCACTAATCCGATTTCAAAGATCAAAATACTAAATGAAATGTTAAAAGAAAAGACTGTTAGAAAACATTTAAAGATACTAAAAAAAATGAAAAACATTGATTGTTTTGCTCATGCCCTCGATCACATTTCTCAAGGAAAGCGTAAAAGAGAAATAGGTATCGCACGAAATTCTCTCTATTATACCTGGTTTCTAAGACATGAAGTGAGAGTTGTTTCACCAACGACCTGATGAGACAGCTAATGGAAGTTACATTCAAATCCAATGCCCTGTTCATAAGTTTTTCCTTGATTTCGTTGAACTTCGATGAAATTCTTCAAACGTTCCTGATGTTCTTTGAACGTCTCTGAGTTGGAATTTTTTTTTTCTTGAAATTCTCAGATATTTCTTAAAGTTAACGGACCTTTCTTAATGTTATTAAATGTTCCCTGTTGTTCACAGACCATCTTAAAGTTTGCAAAATTTTCCTCATGTTTATAGAACTTTTTGCAGAGCATTATTGAAGTTCATATGTTGTATGTATATGAAGTATATATGTTGCAATAGTTCACAGAACTGTCTTAAAGTTCGTTAAACTTATCAGGAGGACATTGAACTCCCCTGAAGCTCACGCATAATTTTCTTGAAGTTTATAGAACTTCTCCTCTGAAGATCGAAGCACATCTTTCAAGTTTGAAGAATTTTCCAGAAGTTTGTAGAGCTTCCCTGAAGCTCAATAAACTTCTCGGAAAGTTGTTTTTTTTTTCCTTTGGTTTGTTTTTTCTGTCGATCTTGTTTTCCGTGCTGAGCACCAATGCTACCGACGTGCCAGGAAGGCAGCTCCCACACCTGGACCCTACCTATCGACCCATCAACTCATGAACCGGGGACCAACGGTTACCTAAACTCACGGAGCAAGAGTATCCAATCTCATGTGAGTTTCATTCCTGTATTATGTCATTATCGGATAAACGATTTTCAAACAAATTCGTCATGGTTGCCAGAATTTATTTTCGATCTCACCGTTGAGTCAAACAACTCTATTTGTTTTTAAAAAACCAAGAAAATTTTCCACCCTTCAGGATGTGTTAGTGACAAGTGCCACCTTCGCCACCTGCATGGGACACAAAACTTCCAGATACCTGACATATCCTTTATTAAACTCCGGTATAAATCTTTCCACGATCGTCGCTATTGTCTGTTATGATTTTTTTGTTTTTACAGAGTCGCTTTTTCGAAGCACATCAAGCGAACTATCTATTTTCTTCATGAGGTTTTATAGCTCTTCCAGACTTTCTACACGATACATCTATATAAAAAAAAACACTCGAAACAGGACGAAAACCAATGCCTACTATTAATACGTGGCTGTCACGGACTGTCCTGCTCGTTTCTTTTTCTTTTACTCTCATGAGGAAAGAGAAATTAAATAAGATGTTGTGCTACCAATAAATATAAAATGATTTTGCGCAACGTCGTCATAATCAATATGGATATTACTTACAAAGAGAACTTCTTTTTTTTGCCATTTAGATCAATTCAATCAATTTTTTAACCTTATTTACCTGCTTTTTTTAATTCCATATGCGTCTTCATAATCGGCTCTGTAAACTTCAAAAAACGTTTTCTCAAAAAACCCAAGATGAAATATTTTGAAACCATCTCAGATTTGTTTGTTAGGATCAACACTAACATCCTGTGAAGAAAAATCTGAGGTACATGAATGTTGCAAAAATAGTGCCTTTAGACATAGCGTGTGTCCCTTTCGACCTTTTGTTTTTCGACCTTTTATCCTTGACATAGATTCATCTATAATATGTCTAATGAAGTATGAAATATTACCTTTGGTTTTTTAAAATTAATATTAATTAAGACATAAATCTTTTTTTCTAGTGATGAACTAACCTCAGGATAAAAAATAGCTTTAATAAAGTATTAAAAAACATGCTTTGGCTGTATGCTGGTCAGTTAAGATTATGCGTTTTAGGATAAAATAGATCAATTTTACAATTGCTCAAAATACTCCAGCAGACCGACAATCCCATGATATCTTATAGCACCGCTCACCCCAATACGGCACCCTACTGGAAAATGAAGATTTCCACCCATGGTGATTGAGTGTATGAGGTGTTAATGCGGAACATCAGCAATAATTAGATTCAAAATAATCTAAATCCCATCAGACAACGGCTCAGATTTGAACAGGTGGCACAGTTGAGGGTGCTTCGGTTAAAATATTTGTTCCATCGTCGCTTTCCTGTGCCCTCTACTCGGAAGGTAAAATTCAGTTTTGATGATCCGAATCAAAAAAAAAATTCCCTTATCTCGTCGAAATAAAAAAAAAAACTTGAGATTTTAACTAATTGCGATTAGAGAAAATCAACGGGAACAAATGACGGATCATCAACACTAATGAACCTACGGACCACGAACAAGACCTGGTGCTGATACAACGATGGTAAGTTTTGTCTGGATGCAAGCAACGAAAGGTCCATGCGGTAAAACAAAGTACGAAGGGTGGTAACGTGATGAACTTGGACTCAGTTAGTACACTGCCTGGGAAAGTGCCCTTGGAGGCGAACGAGAAGCGAATTTAATAACTTTCTCAATTATATAGTAAACAACGCTCAGGCAAGCAGAAGTGGATTTCACGGGCTACGGCGTTCTGTTGGGAAGGGTCATGCCAAACTCTATCAGAAGGCGCACAGTGAACTCTCCCTTACTCGATCTTTCCCTAACTCGATGGAAATCCAGGCTACGTCGAATACTTTTCGCATACAAATTTCGAAAATGTACCTCTGCAACTCGATATCCCTTCAATATCGTGTTAGGGAGAGTTGACTGTACAAAGCTATGTAACCGTTGGCATTTTGTTTTGAATTTTCCGCTAATTTTATGCACCGAATGTTATGTAATCTGGAATTTTATTTCTTCTGTCTATTGCATTGCATTGTAAACGAGTTTAATTAAAAATCAAAAAAATCTTCTTACTGTGACATGAGTTTTGACTTTTCAGCCTGAAAACCACTCCCGACCATTCAGGCTGAGATCACAGTCTTTCTATTGTCTCTAAAAAGGCATTAAAACTCTCTTGATACATCTGATATAACAAACCAAGAAGTCATCCGGAACCGACAATCAACGACCGAGTAATCAGGAAAGCTGGGTTTCAGAGTGTAAAATGCATAAACTAATTCATTTCAAGGTGTACACAACACTAAGCAAACCACCTAGCAGCGACAACTTTTGCACCTTCTACTAGGTGGCATACAACGTGGGGTGATTTACGTCTTAATCAGTGAAAGGATCGTATCCCAAGCGGGGGGAAAACAATGTCTTTCGTCGCTTACTGTAGCAGTATTAATCACATCTTCTTCTTGGTTGATAGTGATCCAACTGGAATTTATGCCTGCCCAGGGAAATTTAGAATATTTCCAGCGTCTATACCGGCTAGGCTTGTAATCTCCACGTCTAAGAGCATATTTTAACTGAATTGACTTTTATGAAGAAAATCCTTGCATTGAATAAGGCCTCCCAACTACAGTAGACTTAATTTGCCGTACCCACCTCTCTATTTCGCCGTCATCTTTCGTCTTAAAAACACCCCTTCTGCAACCCGGGTGCAATTTGTTCGGTCACTAATTTATGACTACCATAATTCGTTAGCCCCTCATCGCCATCCTGCTTGGTAGCTGTGGTCTTGTTCTATTCCTATGTTTGGAACTGGGAGGACCCGTGCACATGGCAGTATCATGATTATGTTTCTTGTTCAACAGGAGTTTTATTGGGCCTTGGCTGCTGCCACTGGTTAAATGGAAAACGATAAGGAATTTATGACGTTCATATTGGTTTTATATTACTTTTTCCTGCCAAGCATGAGATATATATCGTTAAGCACAAAATACTCATGAGCGTTGACGCGAAAAAAAAAACAATCACGCTAGGGTTTAATTTGCAAGATAGATGAGAAGGATATTATGAGTTTCCTTGTCACTTATACGACATTCATAATCAGCAATAAAATCTAGCCACCACCCGTTTAACACAAATAATTATTTCCATCCTAATTTCGTTACAGAAAACACTGGCACCGACCAAATTTTCCATCTCGGCGGACCGGAAGTTTCTGCTACTGGCACAGAACGTGAAGAAACTTTTTCGTCACTCCTTTCTTGCGCAGTACACCATCTACGATGTAACAACCAGGTGAGTTCTATGTAAATATTTCTCCGAGTTCGTTTCGCAGGTGTGTACGATTAATGGGTGCTATCAATTCCAAGTCCGAACGATCCCAATCTTTGCCAAAGGAATGACTTGTGGAAAAATTGAATAATTACGCAACTTTCTCTTTGTTGAGCAAAACAGGGATGTCTGATCAAATAAATCTTGAATTCATGAGTTCTATTTGGTGAGTATGTTTTGCTTGATGGTAGCTGATAATGAAACGAAAAAATAATAATGAGAAGATTTTACAAGTTAAATCAGCTATGGCAACGGATATTGCAGGCTTCTATCAACGTTGTCCTCCTTCTTTTCCTTCTTCTTGAATCCATTATTTAAAGTTGTTCTCTGTTTCACAATTAGAGGCAATAACCGACGGACATCGATTACCATCCATTAACGCTAATCGAATGGCCAGGGAGCCGGCTTCCACACTATCAACATATGGTCCGGGACCAACGGGTTTGCTTCCCTTCTGAAGGAAGACGAGCCCAGAGATGTTTCGCTTTAGATTGTTCCCAGACACACTGAGTGAGAAAGCAGTCACGCTTTCCACTACAACACCCATGCTTGACATGCACAGTTGTACACACCAACTGCTCATTTGTTAATAACTTTTCACTCGGTTGTTGAAATTTGTTTTTCTTTAAAGTAATTGATAGATTAGGATCATAGCTTACTATAGATATGCAAAGAGTATGTAAATCTTAACATTTGAATCAACACCAATGAATTTTTATGTTTAAAGTCCGAGATGTGCAGCGAGCATTGCTCACTTGATTTTTACAACGCAAAAACAAATATTACTAGATTACTAGCAGTGTTGGGAAAATATCAAAAAATCAATTCTCACCAACGCCCAAGATCACGCTTTATTTTCGTAGCCAAAAATCAACAAGCAACCCAGACAACCAGAATGCACGTATATTCAAAGTTGTTTTCGTGATATACAAACATATATACAAACCGACAAATCGTATAGAATGCAAAGAAATGGCTCATACGTACAAAAGTGGAGGCCATATACGTGCAAATTTAAATTTAATTTTAAACGAGTTGATTTAACATCATATACGATTTAATCTGTAATAACAAATTCACTTTGAAAAGTCTTACGATGTAACCCGATTTGATTTGTGATACAGTACGACGGAAAAATGAATCATCGCATATAGGTCGGAAATTTGCATTCTATACGATTTAAATTAAACATAATGCGATGTATGCCATTCTTATATGCGATTTTGACTTAAACTGTAGCAATTTACGATACTGTCTGCACATTGTTATACGACTACTGGTTGTCTGGGAAACAACTGCGGTTGATTTTGTAAGCTGGGATATCGCAGCTCGGAATATCAAGCTAACAAAACTCACCAACTGCAAATCTCACCAAACTGTGGTGAGATTGAGTTTAATGATTTTTGCTTTACACACAGAGATTATTTTACTGGGGTCAGTAATTTTTTACTGGGTTTTCAAACAGCTGAAAAAGTCAGTAAACTAAAAATAACGGTCACACGTAATGCAACGAACAATTTTAACATATTTTATTTTTATCATCAAATAAATGTAATAAGAACACAGTCTGTATAAATTTCAAGAAAAAATCACTTTTATACAATTTTTTACTATTTTTTTAAGTTTACTGACTTTTTCAGCTGTTCAAAAACCCAGTAAAAAATTACCGAACAGGGAGGCCGTGATTTTGTGTGTACACCCAAATGCAACCGAAACTTCCATAACGGCTTGCAGCAGTCCCTTCGCGTTTGCCATCGGTGACGATTAAAAAGAGATAGCGAAGTATGCTTTTTCTTTCTAAAAAAACGATGTGCAATGGAATCATTTTTGTGTCGAGTCAACTCTCAGGTTGATTTTTGCACGTTGTGAATAATCTCGCAATATCAAAGGAGCTTGTAAAATCAATATCAAGCATGATATTTTGTTCCAATATCACGCGCGATATTGCGAGCGCATGAGAGCGGAAAAAAATATCAATTGATTTCTGATTTTGCCAACACTGATTACTAGAATTGAAATCTTCTTTTTTTTTACGTACCTATGACAAGCTTAAACTTTATTCTAACTACTGCTTCAAATAGAAATAGGTTTTGTCAACTGTGTGCAAAGTTATTAGCAAATGAGCAGTTCGTGAAGAAACCTGTGTATGCCAAGCATGACAACACCGGCCGCGTCAAAACGTTTTTTTTAAAGATGAAAGCGACATAGTGAGTAGATAAAAATTTCAAACATGGTTTTCTATGAGACATCACTTCAGATTGCAAAAAGCTCTCGTCGATGTTTTCCTTTTATTATTTCACACAAAACAACTAGAGCTTTTTTTTTTCAATATGAACTGATGTCTCAGAGAAAACCATTTTTGAAATTTGGATTTTATTCACTACGTCACTCAAACCTTTAAAAAACGTTTAGATGTTGTGCTTTGTAAATAATATTGCTACAATTTTGTTTGCGTAAGCCAATTTTACAAAACTACTGACAAAATTTTAGAAAGAGAATGAAAAATCTGTCATCCAGCTTGAATCCAGTAATCCCCTGCGGTTTCAGATTCAAATTCAGATTAATTTCGTCAACCAAAGTATACTAGTATAAATAAAAATTATTTTCTCTTAAATATGTTTAAAAGAAAATCTTTGAAACACAACACATTTAATTGGTGATTCGTAGTAACTGTCATTTAAGAAAGTGGTCAGTACGCTTGAACGCTTGCATGAATCGTTGAGATCAGTATGTTATAGATAGAGAGTAATGATCCGATTTTGTCAGCCCCTCCAAGCATCAGATTTTTGTATTTCAATAATTTCACATAACCGTAATTCAAAAGCAATAATAAGGCCACTGAAACAGCGCATGGATTTCGTAGAACATTAGAAAAGATTTGCAACATGGGGGCTGACAAAATCGGAACTTTACAGTACTACATATATTTATAACCTTCAGTGTTCTCTAAGCTTTCGAGACGAGCACGATCGTGTATCACGCGGTCGTGTGTATACTCGGCAGCAACCATTGTGTGCCAACCTGGTTAAAATGTCATATTTAATTATCTTAAAGATAAATCGTCCAGCTCAAACCTTTTGTAGGGGTAAGAGATCGGACCATCATCATCATCATGGTGCTCATTGTTCTTTATCTGCTGTTCTTTCGGTCGATGGGTCGTCGACCTTGAAAAGCAACTGTTTCTTGATGAGTGTGTGAGTGAAGACCACGATTTGGATCCATTTTTGCAGTGGAAGCGCTATGTCCCCCTTTGGCGATGTTGCCATACCTTGAAACCACTAGAAGTGAATCCTGTTATGATGGAGGATGATTTTTGAATTTCTGAAGATAAATTGTTTTTTTTTTATATTGTACCAATAACAAAACCTACAAAAGCTCTATGCATCGTTTTGCGGAATGCTGTTGATGAAAAAAGTTAGAGGCAAATGAATCTAAATGAATGTATGAAATGAATGCAAATGATTTTCCATGCCTGCTCATGACTATAGTTTTAAGATGAATTGTATAGTGAACTAGAAATCTTGGCACTGTAAAATTTATTCAATTGTGCCTAGTAAAATAAAGTAATTATAAAAAAAAAATATGTTTATATTTATATCCTTCAACTTAGCTGACTTAAATTGAAATATCTCTCCCTTTACCTTAACCTTACATTTGTCACAAAAATTAATCACAGCTGACACGCAACTTTTAGTTCCAGCTCTTCTGGAGACCAAGTGATGCTTTTAAGCCCTGACATTGTTCCTTTGTACCTCTATAATATAGCGAAAAATAAATGTTTCATTAGCTCGGAGAGATTTCAGCTCCTAAATGGTAACACAAGAATATATACTCATTTATGTTACCAACCTCCATTTTCACGTCCATGGCTGCTTTAAATTGAAAACAAATGGAGTTCCTTATCCTTCTATCAACATATAGTGCGATGTATGAATTTTAAACAAAATTTCATCAATTTTTGTGCACTGGAACTATTTTAAATCAGTGCAATTACATTAGCAAAAATAACCATCCTAGCGCTCCTCGTTGCGACTTTGTATGGGAGCAAGCTGTCAACTAACAAATTTAGGGTCAAAATATTAAGGGTATAGTTGAAAACCAGAAAACCCCACACGCGAAAATTTATTTTACTCTTGTTCTGTAAAGGGTGATACGGTCAAAATTTGGTCAAGGGAAAACGCGTGTAAATCGGTGAAATCGTTTATTTAAAAAATCAAATTAAATTTCTTTTTCAAGTTCAATTAGTATAAAATTCAGGAAAAATATTCAGTTAGGCTTCCGCTTTTCCAAATCCGAATTGCCGGGCCTTACGCTTGACCCCTGCCATCAGATTTTGTACAGCCACCTTGTCCACCTTCTTCGCCGCAGAAAGCCAGTTTGCCTTGAACTGCTGCTCGCCCTTAGCAGTTTTTTGGTCTTCTTTAGGTTCCGCTTGACAATAGCCCAGTATTTCTCAATTGGGCGGAGCTCTGGCGTGTTGGGAGGGTTCTTGTCCTTGGGAACCACCTGCACGTTGTTGGCGGCGTACCACTCCATGGCCTTTTTACCGTAATGGCAAGATGCCAAATCCGGCCAAAACAGTACGGAACAACCGTGTTTCTTCAGGAAAGGCAGCAGACGTTTATTCAAACACTCTTTCACGTAAATTTCTTGGTTGACAGTCCCGGAAGCTATGAAAATGCTGCTTTTCAAGCCACAGGTACAGATGGCTTGCCAAACCAGATATTTCTTTGCGAACTTTGACAGTTTCATGTGCTTGAAAACATCTGCTACCTTTCCCCTTCCTTTTGCCGTATAAAACTCCTGTCCCGGAAGCTGCTTGTAGTCGGCTTTGACGTAGGTTTCGTCGTCCATTACCACGCAGTCAAACTTCGTCAGCATCGTCGTGTACAGCCTCCGGGATCGCGCTTTGGCCGTCGTATTTTGTTTATCATCGCGATTTGGAGTCACTACCTTCTTGTAAG